AGTAGTCGCTGATGGGAGGATCGGGCACCGACTGGAGCCACTTGGTTTTGTGCTGCTTTGATCCTCTTTTCAGTGATTTTGGGGATCCTGTGGGCCCAAAGCCCTGTTGTTTCCCTTTGTTGAAGTAGCTCTACCTGCAAATATTCCGTCGGGAAGCAGCTCCCGTTTATTTGCAGCGTGTTTTCCACCAAATGAGCTTCAGCTCCTGAGCTGGGCTCCTCTTTATTGGCAAAGCAGGAAAGACTTCGTTGCTTTTATTTTTTTTGGTGCAGCCTCGTCCTGTGTCCAATTCAAACCCATTCCCGTTTAATTTTGGGCAACCTGAAAGCTGAAGGAAAGCAGATAGCCCAGAAATAAAACACTGCTTGAGGATCCCCCCACCTCCAAGTCCAGATCCTACTGAAGCTTTACTGGGAGCTGAGTGTGCCTCTTGATAATGAAACCAGGCCATAAAAATGCTATTCCAGGGATCCTTTTTTCCACTTATTATTAAAAAAACTGTGAGGGTGATGCCTGGGGTTAGGCAGCACAACCTGCTTTCACGTGTGTGTATAATATAATGCACTGTATTAACATCCCTGAATGGATGGCAACTCCTTTAACCAGCCTGATGTCAAAAGGTGAATCCTTAAGAGCAAACACAGGGATGGGGGAATACAGGTACCAAGATGGAAAATTGATTGGTAGTTTGAACCTTCACTTAAGAAAGACTTAATGGGATGAGGAGATTAATAAAGAGGGTCTCTGTGGTGGGGCTGTCACTGCTCCTGGTAGCCCAGAGGTCAATAATCAGAGCAAATGGATGAGGCAGGTCAGGTATCTCAGCTAAAGGATCTTCCTGGATGTTCCTGGGCACGTTCTGGGTCCATTCACCTGGTTTTTAGGGAGGGTGTAACTTTGTGTCCTGGTGTCCTGTGCTCTGGGGGGGGCTCAGGAAGAGCTTTACCAGCAGGGCACGGAGTGATCCTGCCCCTCTGCCCAGCCCTGGGGAGGCACATCTGGAGAGCTGGGCCCAGTTCTGGCTCCTCAGGACATGGAGCTCCTGCAGCAGGTCCAGGGGGAGGTGACAAAGGTGCCCAAGGGATGGAGCATCTCTGGGAGCAGCAAAGGCTGAGGGAGCTGGGGCTGTTCAGCCTCCAGAGCAGACACTGAGAGGGGACCTCCCCCAGGTCTGTAGGGGCTGCAGGGAAGGGGCAGAGGATGGACCAGGCTCTGCTGGGGGGGCCCAGCAATGGCACAGGAGGAACAGGCAGGAACTGATGCCCAGGAAGTTCCACCTGGACAGGAGGAAGAACTTCTTGGCTGGGCAGTGATCCCCAGATTGTCCAGAGGGGGTGTGGAGTCTCCTCACTGGAGATATTCCAAACTCACCTGGACACAGTCCTGTGCCATGTGCTCTGGGATGGCCCTGCTGGAGCAGGGAGGTGGGACCAGGAAGGATACTGTGGGTCCTTCCAACCTCACCCATCCTGGGATTCTGTGATGTTAATTCTGGTGGCACTAAAAGAAAGAAACCGTATTTCAGGGGAGGCTTCTCAGTGTTTAGTAAATCCATGACAAGGTCTTACTTCCTCTGTGGCAGCTGCTGTGTGTTTTTCTGCATCTTCTTACTGTTGTTCGTGCATTTATTGCCCTTGGAGCTGGTTTATGGATCAGGATCCCACAAGGGCTGGGCAAGGCACAGGACAAAACCATGTCTCTTGTGCTGAAGGACAAGAGAAAAGGAGAAAAGTGTCAGAGGGAGCTGCCCCACCACAACAGGAGAAAACAGAATGATCTCTCCTTTCAGCCTGAAAAGCAAGGATGGGGGGCAGCTCCCCCTTCACACACACCCAGCTCACTCCCAGGAGCCTTTTCCTCTCTTCCCTGCAGTGCCAAGACCTCAGGACAGAGCCCCTGGAAGGTGATAAAACATCCCCAGACAGAGGGGTTCTGCTACTTCCCCTTGAGGAGGAATTTGTTGCTGGAAAGGGTGGTGAGGCCTTGGCAGGGGCTGCCCAGGGAGGTTTGGAGTGCCCAGCCCTGGAGGTGTCCCAGGAAGGCCTGGCCGTGGCACTCAGTGCTCTGGGCTGGGGG